CCCCCCCCTCTTTTTATACGCTGACCATTCTACTTCTACGCAGGAACTGTTTAACTTATTTAATGAATCCCTGATTCTAATTTGTGTTTTAAAATATTGTTCAGAAAGATTAGCTTTTTAAATTGCAACACAATATAGGGATCAGAATTTTATTAAAACATCATATTAACACATCATAAAATTGATATTTTTTGATGTGTTAAAAATTCTGAAAATGACGGAAAATGAAGTATTTTAAAATTTTGTTGAAGTGTGAAGGAGGAAAATATAAGAATAAGGTTCTGCTTTCTCCAGGTTGTCTGATGAGTAGAGAAGACTAATTAATTCCAAGATGAGAAATTAATTAGTCCTTAATTAAATAATGATGATAAGATTCAAAAAGATGTTTTCAACAAGAAAGTTTGGATTCACTCATCTTTATGGTAATATGCTTTTTTCAATGTTTAATGCTTTTCTGAGTATAAATAATAGAACCATGCGGCGGCTGCATTAAAAAAAATAACGGAGAAATAATGGTAAAACAGTTTCTCGTTTTTGAAGGACAAAAAAACATATCAATGTGAATAACATAGATGTCACAAAGGACGGGTTTTCAGTCATAATGACCCTATATACATTTATAGAAATGTCATAATTGTTTAAATATCATTTAAAATTTATTTTTAACCAGAGGATTAAGATACTCCCCCCCCCCCCTAGTGGGAAGAATGTTCAAGCCAACATGTTTTTTCCCACAAACTTAATTTGATCTAAACTTAATATTTGCAACCTGACGGTGTTAACATTTGATATTTCAAACATAGAATTTAATCTAAGAGAATTTATTGTTTGAAATATCAAAGGTTTAAGACACCAGATTGCAAAGATATTGGGGAATAAAAAAGCTAGAGTTTGTTACAAAAACACTCATTTCCTTAATGAATGAGCCAAGGTCAAGTGCCTACAACACTTGATCTCAAAATTCATATTGACACCTTCAAATGAATTGAGTCTTTGCTACAAACTCTGATTTTCTACCTATATCTTTATAACCCAAGGCCAATGTCGGGGACCATAGATAATTCAAACTATGAATTCTGATAGATCAAAATAATCTAGGTTTGAAATATCAAAAGTTTACATCAGGGTGCAAAGATTTAAGCATTATAAAGTTTGAGTTTGTGGCATAATTCCTTTGACAGATAAGTACTTGATTCCTCAATTTTATTTATCCGTGCAGTTTACGACCACCACAGTTTATCCAAAATTAATTATTTTTATCCGTAGGATATAGATAACTGATTATTCCCAGGTTTTGTAACATAAAACTTTTATCCTTTGCATCTAGTTTGGGAATTTTTAGCCAAATTATCACTTGCTGCAGGTTACAGGGACTGTAGACGTAGAAAGAGTTGGATTTTTTTTAGTTAGACGGTCACTTGAAACTACGTCTTTAAGACCCCCAAGACGTCAATATCAAACAAGATAAATCATAATATAACAAACCCACGTCAAACAAAAGAAAATGACACGTAAAATTAAAATCGTATGTGTCTTTAATCATTACTCTTCTTATTGAGAAATTATGGAGAAGAACAAACATGGTTTGAATTGCTAATATGTAATCAGATAAATTTTCTTTTTCATATTTCAGCTTTAAATCAAAGCTTGAGAAGGTCATTGATGTCGGATGAGTTTGCCTTCTCCTTCTGTCTAGTTTGCCGTGCCAACACCCCACCCCTGGGATTCCTAAAAAATAAAAATTCACTTACAAACATCTAATTATCTCGGGATTTTGAAAAGAGAGGGTTGGCTCTTACTTTCGGCATTTATTGATTTCTGTTATTCTGCATTAGCTGTACATTCGGGGTAAAAGGCATAAAATAGATTATCAAGTACAATAGGTGGCAACAGAGAAATGTACCAATTATCCATTATACACGACGTCACAAATGTCAAATATAACAAGGAAAACGAAATTTTCTCACATTAGTTGACATGTTTTCCAAGATTAAATAAAAAAGTGTAAAAACATAAAATAAAGAACACATAAATTGCACTTATTTTACTGTAAGATAAGCACTTCATTCTAAAATTATCACTATTGTTGTTAATTTTGTCGGACACAAAAACTGAATTGACACTTGTGACGTCAGAATACATCAGCTGTACTGAGAGTGTACAAATTCTACGTTGCTATCTATTGCACTATTTATTGGATGCATTCGGTTTCTTCTTCATGAATTTAATCACATGTTGGTTTATAAATATATAAACAATTTTATTTTTATACTTTTTCATTTAACACGCATATGCCGATACACGAGTATTTTTTTAAAGGCGACAAATCTATGTTTATGATAAGTTTGGGATCGAAAGTCACAGCTTGCTGGGATAGGAACGGACCTGTTAAATCCAGGTGCCTCTTGGAACCAAAGTTTTCTTCTTTTTATACGCCCATGACTGGATGATTTCTGAGTGATTAATAATAAAACAAACTGACAAAATGTCGGAGAGGATTAAACGTATATATTGTTTTCTGAATAGTAAATATGTTTACAAAACAGAGGAAGTAGGAAGTAATGATAACATTTTTCTGAAGTCTATAAAACATTTCTTTCTCCCACTCCGAAACAAAAACTCTTTCTCCCACACCAAACCAAGAACTCTTTCTCCCAGACCAAACCAAGAAATATTTCTCCCACACCAAACCAAGAACTCTTTCTCCCACACCAAACCAAGAAATATTTCTCCCACACCAAACCAAGAACTCTTTCTCCCACACCAAACCAAGAACTCTTTCTCCCACACCAAACCAAGATCTCTTTCTCCCACACCAAACCAAGAAATATTTCTCCCACACCAAACCAAGAACTCTTTCTCCCACACCAAACCAAGAAATATTTCTCCCACACAAAATCAAAAACTCTTCCTCCCACACCAAACCAAGAACTCTTTCTCCCACACCAAACCAAGAAATTTCCCTCTTATACCAAACCAAGAACTCTTTCTCTCGAACCAAACCAATAACTCTTCCTCACACACCAAGCCAAAAACTCTGTCTCCCATGTCAAACAAAGAACTCTTTCTCCCACGTCTAATTATTAATGAAGACTCGCATTGATTTTGATACGCTTATCCTGAGTTCAAGCCTCCAATCATTGGTACACTCTTCTTATTTCTTGATCTTAAACCTGCTAAAGTTTGATTTGCTTTAATTCAGCAGACAAAACAAAACTTTAAAATGTTTCTCCTGAAAACCTGCTGAAGGAAATAAGAAAAATAAGAAGTAAGAAATTGAACTAGAAAGAAGCATCATAAGAATTATATTACTAGAATAAAATAGAAATTGCGACAAGATACACAAACTTAATGTTTGAACATACAAAAGAATATATCCAAGTTAAATTTTTCTTTTATACTCTTAAAGGAATTGAAGCTTCAAAGGGGTGTTCACGAAAACTGAACACTAACTACGAAATTTCTTATATCTGTGCAACCTGAGCCCACGAATTAAAAAATCAGGGAAACTAAGTTTTTTATAATTTATTGTGGCGGCGTAGTGGCGGAAGACGAGACTTCTGAGGAGTTTTGAACCTAAGATCTAGATGCGGCAAGAAGAGAACTTCCGGCCACGTCACCTATCTACCTATTAAAATCTTTTACATTTTTAGAATTTCAAGTATATAAATTTAGTAATAAAGTAATTATTTAACCAGGCGTTTGTTAAATTGAGCGTAGTTAAATTATAACATTTATACTAATTCTTCATTAAAACCACTAATAAATAAAAAACAATGATTCAGCAAGAGATTTGGGGAACTACGAAGTATATAGCGAATGAGGACTAATGCACAAATCTTTTTTGCATCCCAAAAATGTCTTTATTCATACCTTACCCATTGTAAGTTTATATTAGTTCTTTACCTTAGCCTTAGTAAGTTTATATTAGTTCTATACCTTACCTATACCTATAGTAAGTATATATTAGTTCTATAAACCTTACCCAAATAAATTTAATCAAAGTCACACCCTCAACCTTACCTTGCTCAAAGTAAGTACAGATTAGTCCAAAACCCAATATCATGTATTAGGGTCAAAAAATACCAAATTTTAGGTTTTAATATTTCTTATTTTCCTAAAATCCACTTTATCGTATTTATCTTATCCATCTTTCTTGTCCTATAAGGTTTATCCATGGAAGTAAATGATAAAGAAAATACATTGTATTCCTTGAAGACAATGAAAGGAAGTTAGAAGTTTTTATCTCTAAAGCTGATGAACTTAATATCTCGGTATCTCCATATCTCTAGAACTCAATAGCTCTTTAGCTCTTGAACTCTAGAATGCTATATTTCGGGAATTCAATCTCTCGGTATCTGTAGAACTCAATATCTCTGTATCTCTGTATCTGTAGAACTCTGTATCGTAATATCTCTGTATCTGCTGAACTCAGTATCTTGGTATCTCTATCTGTAGAACTCAATATCTTGGTTTCTCTGTATCTGAGAACTTAGTATCTTGGTATCTCTGTATCTGTAGAACTTAGTATCTTGGTATCTCTGTATCTGCTGAACTCAGTATCTTGGTATCTCGGTATCTGAGAACTTAGTATCTTGGTATCTCTGAATCTATAGAGCTTAGTATCTTGGTATTTCTGTAGCTGTAGAACTTAGTATCTTGGTATTTCTGTAGCTGTAGAACTTAGTATCTTGGTATCTCTGTATCTGTAGAACTCAATATCTTGGTATCTCGGTATCTGAGAACTTAGTATCTTGGTATCTCTGAATCTATAGAGCTTAGTATCTTGGTATTTCTGTAGCTGTAGAACTCAGTATCTTGGTATTCTGTAGCTGTAGAACTCAATATCTTGGTATCTCTGTATCTGAGAACTTAGTATCTTGGTATCTCTGAATCTATAGAACTTAGTAT